GTATTCATCAAATCTGAGAATTTCCAACGGGAATCAATTTTTTTGTAATGAAAATGACAACATACCCTTGTTGAGAGGACGATGAAACTTATTAATGAAATGTCTAAATGCCTTTCAAGAATTAAATTTGTCTCAAAATGAATTCCATATTGTTAACAGAGTGTGCTACTTAAGGAGGCTGGTGGGTCAACAAATTAACCACAAATCAACCATCAGATTTAACTTATTTTTTTAGATACGATATCATCAACTATCATTTGGCAAAGAAAAAATTCAAACATTTTAGTTTTAAAATTTAATCATTTTTGTATATCTTTATATGGAGCTCTTCTTTTAAAGGAGATCAAAATAGTCTGAAAATGGCTGCCACCCCCAGCCTCTTTAAAGCCGCTTAATCCGAAACAGGCACATATATATTATCTTACACAATAAAAGTACGTCATTACCACAGACACTTATTTTGTATACGGGATACCCCCTACTTATACGAGGGCTGTTCAATAAATAATGTCCTGAACTGTATGACATACAGTACACATATCAAATGACATTAAACTTGACTTTCTTTCATTATTGAATCTTTAATGAATATATAACAGTTTATGTGACCACTTTTCATCACATAGTTTCATTGTGAGAAGCTGGAAAACAAGGGCTATTTGAGACACTGCATTACAAATGAATGGTAAAGAATCAGTAAACTTGAGAGTGAAAATAAAAGCTTCATTAAATTGCTGTAAAACATTTTAAAAATCCCAAAGAAATATTCATTGAAATATGTGAAATTTACAGCAACCAACGCCTGTTTTAAAGACAAATGAGCAAGTGGATTTCAATGATGAAAAATTATATACTGGGCATCGTCCTTACCAACAAAGATTATAGCAACTTATCTACTGTTTGCCAAATTTGAACAAATAATATTTGATGATGTATGATTGACTTTAAGACACGAAGTAAATTTGAAAGACATCATTTCGGGAGTAGTTTACACTGTTTTTAAGAAACGTTTGACGGTAAAAAAGCTTAGTACTCAAAGGTCACCCTATATCTTGAAAAATGAGTGAAAACGACAGCCTGAACGAATGTCTTAACAATTATTTTAAAATATCAGTAATTATCCACGTTTGTTTGAAATTCAAACAGATAATAATGAAACAAATCTATTGCTTAAAACCCTTAAAACAAAATTTACCATAAGATGTACTTGACATAAACCGCGAAGGCCTGACAATAGCAAAGATATGCAAGAGCACAGAGAGAGATTTATATGCAATTTTCTTTAATGTTAGTGATATTGTTGTTCAAATTCGTATTCGTGGAGACAGTTTTATTTCTGGAGGAGTCTAGAAAGCAATTTCTTCGCAAAAGAAATCGAAAGGTTTATTAGAGGAAGGACCCAGAATCAGGAATACATTATATTTCTTCATGACAGCGTCCAAACTCGATCGCCCTGAAGAGTAAAGGAATTTTGGGGATAAACAGAAAGTTAATGTTTTTTCACATTAACAATTTTCGCCAGATCTTTGACTTTTTGACTTGCCTCTATTTCCAAACTTGAAAAAATAACCTTTGAGAAGGAAGAAACAAGTCCAGGAAATCATAGGATCTGCCAGTATACTAAGGGTCATACCCAAAAATGAGTTCTAAAAACAATTTGATATTGGATAAAAATGTTATGGATATGTGTTTTAATTAAAAGAGAATATTGAGTTTATGTCATTAAGAAAATCACCAAAAACGTCTTTTGCTTCTTTAAGAGCACCGAAGACATTAATTATTGAACAGCCATCGTATTTAACAAAAAATAGTACCAAAAAAACAAGGTAACTATCTCATTTTCAGGCACCCCCACTTCAAACTCGTATTTTGTTAATAAATCAATCATCAACCTTATTTAAAATGACATCGTTCGCTTCAAGGGAGTTTTAACTTGTCAATAACAACATTTTGGACGTCTCTGGTCGAGCTTCTTTATTATAAACTACGGATTTATTCCTCGAATACATTTTAAGACTTTCCTTGAGATACACGTAGTTCCGGTTGGGGTTACAGATTAATGATAAAACCATAGACCTCGGAATGGAATATCAGAAGCCTATGGTTTTATCCTACACCTTAATAACCCCAACCGGAAGTAAATGTATCTTATAAGATGTCTTTCTTTGTATTGAGGTAATTTTTGAGGAATAAAATGAAAAGGTTCGACCAGAAACTTCTGAAATGATTTAATTGAGAATGATAGAGTCTTTTGAAGCGAACGACTTCATTTTAAAGTAGTTTATGATTGATTAATTAACAAAATTTAAGTGGGGGCGCCTGAAAAAGAGTTAGGTACCCTGTGATTAATATATAAGTAGGGGGTATCCCGTACACGAATCAAGTGCCTATGGTCATTACATAGAAAATATATGAAAATAAATTATAAGATTGAATTAATAGTTCATTACAACAATCCCTAAGCTTACAAGGAAAATATAGATCAAAAACCTTATTAATAAACAGAAGTTCTTGACGGGAAGTTGAGATCTCGCTATTTGCAATGTCGTGAATCACCTTCGAAAAAAAAATAAATTTATCAATTATATCTAATCATGAAGAATAATCCCGAGTATTTTTTCTCATTAGTAGAAGCCTAAGTCAAAATATATCTCTTGAAAATTAAGAAATTAATTGAATATGATACACAGTATTTTTACATTATTATGTACATTTAAAAGAATAAAGGATGATAAGATATTTTACATATTTTTTTTTATAAGGAAGTATAGTAACGAACGCTTAAGTATTGTTCATGGACAGGTATAAGTACTTTGTTGTGATAAAAATGCTCGGGTTTGTTCTTCATAATGGACTTTTACGAGAAGCACCGACCTCTACAGTTGACGGTTTACTTGGACATTTAAACTTGTATCATGTACGGAGGTACAGAATTGATAATGCATAAGAAAACCTGTAAAGTGGTCATAGGTATGGTGTTAGGGGCACTTACATGTGAAGGCCGGGAGTTGAGGGTAGGGTGGTTGTCGTTTTCTTCAAGAACAACTTATATATGCATTGAAATAACCCCTTATTTTCGTTTAATTAAATGTTGAGCTAAATATGTATATCGTAAATGAGCGACCGTACATTGTCCTAGTGTAAAAGTAAGCCGTCAACTGTAAAAATCAGCACTCCTCGTAAAAGTCCAGTAAGATATAAGCGATAAATTTAATTTTTCAAAGGTGATTTCACGCCATTGCAAATAACGATATCGTCAAAGGATTATTTTTTGTGTGACCCAACAAAAATGATTTTTTTAACTTTTGATTTTTTGCATCTTTTAAAAGAAAAAAAAGACTTTGGGGATATAATTTGACAAAAGTTGAAAGAAGTAATGGACAATTACAGGTGTATTTTTCAAGAAGAAAACGAATATATTTTTCGCGATTAGAATCGGACTAAGCGGCTTTAATAGTGAAACCACAACATTCATCAAATTATTTCATATACTCGGTGTCGGAAATGACACTTTTAATTCACATGAACTGTTTCAAGTTAATGGACCACTTCTACCACATATTAATATAATTCCCCATGCATAGTATAGTATATCACAAATAAGGCTGGTCAATCAAATGTTTATATATAACGCAACAGTTACCAAGTTTATTATATACAAAACACAGATTAATCAAATGGAAGCCTTCTCGATACTCACCACGAATATCTAGCTATAGTCCTCTCAATTATTCCACTGAAATAAGAAGTAGCATTAGTACTGCAAGTCCGACGAATCTACGTTCACTTTAAGTTAGATATCTCTCTAGCTAAATATTGTACCCAATTCTTACAAAGATATTTTTAATAAATAAAATGGCCTTGCTGTATCCAGTCTATAATTTTATTTATAAACGGTAAAAATATCGAAAGATGAATCTTACCTCTGTATTGCACATGAGATCGTTAAATAAAACGTGGGCATGATAAAACGATTCATTAAAACAAATAGCTTGTATGATGGCATGTTCATGTCATCCACATAACTTTTTGTTAACATAGGATATCATGCAAAGTCAAGATAACTATCTTGTCCAGTCATGATAACTTTCTGGTTTGTCGGCAAACATCGACTTATCGTGTCTATATCACATCTTGACATGATGAAATATCTTGTCTTGTATCATGAATAACATAGCTATCGCAAAATTACGATTGCTTATCTTGACTGGACAAGGTATAAATTCGGTGTTTGTCGACAACCCAGAAAGTGTTAATTTGACATGATATGCTATGTTGACAAAAAGTTATGTGGGTGGCATAAACATGCCACCATAAGCTTGAGTACCAGACAACCAACTATTTTGTGTTACTTGTTATAAACAAAAACCTCATCAAGTGCTGATTATGACCTGTTTTTTTTTATAGTAATACTGTCCTTGGAATCCCCACGACGATCTTGCTGTACAACCAGATTGTGTATGACATTCACCCCCGTTACTTTATCCCGATATCATTTTTTATATTAATTATATGGTTCATGTTTTAATAAAGATCTTACACAGCTTTCAATTACTTCTATTGGCATTTAAGAATGATTTAATATGCATCAATGCCATGTACTGAACAGTTTAAAATACCAGTTCGCATTACAAGTCATACATTTTCCCTCAGTGCTACTTATTACAGTAATAATTATAAATAAAAGGACTACAAGTTTTAAGTAGTATACTTGTCTACGGATGAAGGTGTTGGGTTACATAATTAAGGATATAACATTTAAAATATTGCTACACACCGTGAGATTGAGTGAAGAGTTTGTCGTATGCACAGCTTCAAAACTCAATTGCACTCTATTCCACAACTTACCTCGATCCCTTTCTGGTACAGCAATAAAACACTGGCGTTTATGTTTGCAACAAATGAGGTCAAGTTGACATTTGGTTACGTAAGTGCAAGCATGTGACTAAGTCGTTCTGACTGAAACAAATAAATTTGAATGTTTTTAATTGGGATCGAAATCATTTTTTTTCGTCTTTTTCATGCATGATGGATAGGAAGACGGTTCTCTGTCTGCTCTGTTATTTCAGTTTCATGATTGCAGGCTCAGGTGAAAGTATCATTTTTTAATATTCTGTGCATGCATTATCAGATGGATAGAGATCTTTAGTAATGGCAAAGCCGCTGCGAATATTTCTTCATTTTGTATTGTTATGCTTTCAAGTTCAAATAACAATTTCAATATGTGAAAATCATTTGTTAAAAAAGTATTATCATCTAAAACAACTATTTAGCCATTTATTAAAATGTCGTACTTGGAATAATTTCTCTGTATATTCATTCCTCCAAATACTATTTAAGGAACTTAAATTTAGATCATAGCCTGTCGAAAAAATATTTGCGTCGTGGTATTCTTGTCGTGAATCCAGTTTTAAATTCAATAACATAAAACACAAAATAAATTGTTATTCGTTGATTTGATATATTCAATAAAGGGGTCCGACAGTAGTTTTCATTGCGCAATATTTCGCGCATCATAGTAAAATGACGCGTATTTACTGTTTTAAAGCAATTTTTTTACTTGATTAATAAAATTAAATAATTTAATTTTAGTTGTAGCACGTCATTTGATTGGTTAAAAGATTTTATCCATTTCGCATAACATAACTTGCCTACGTCACAAAACGTATTACTCCGCTTGACGTTACTTTTAAAATAATGCTCAATTTGAAGCCTTTTTCCGGAGGAAATATTGTCTCATTGTCACACTGAAATTAAATTATAAGGAATGAAGCTTATTTCAGCTTATGTTATCCGATATAACAAACTTGGGGCAGTTTACGCTTTCTTATAAACCACTTCGCGGTTTATAAAGCGTAAACTACCCCAAGTTATGTACGTTATATCGGATAACATAAGTTGAAATAAGCTTCATTCCTTAAACAAATTTAAGAAATTACAGGTTTAAAAATGTAATTACAATCTTAAATAAGTAAATTTTTAACCCATTTTTCAACTGATAGGGAGGTTGACGTCCTTATTGTGTGTTTTTGACGTTATGATAAACTGAAACTCTTAAAGAAAGATGTAATATAAACGTTATTAAATAAAAAGTAATAAACATACGTCCTTGAAATTTAAACCATAGAAATTTGAGAATCTCTCCATTATTCTTATCATTTTTTCATATTTTACCTTTTTGCCCGTCATAATTTGTAGCACTTGATAAAAACAGGAAAATTCGTTAAGTTTTGGCCTTTTGAGATGCCCCCTCTTGTAATATGTTACTCATCATATATTTTAGTTTGAATAAAACTCTATATGTATTGTAGTATTTGTATAATTTGCTTTAAAGTGCTAAAAAATGACACTTTCCTATATAATCCTATAGTAAATGTACCTATATTTTGAGACGACCCCTTAAAATACCTGGACGCTGGTACAAACTTTGCATGTACACTATAGTTAATTTAAGTTATATGTGGTATAAAAATAAAGAGTTTCACTATTGTAGTTTTCACACAATAAAACGCCAGTCGGCCCCTTAAATATTCATTATGAGAATTACTCTTATTTTGCAAATGGACTTTTCCGAGGAGCTCTGACTTTTACAGTTGACGCTTACTTTTACACTAGGTCTACATGTACGGTAGCGCTTTTCTAATATCAATATTTAGCTCAACATTTAATTAAACGCAAATAACGGGTTATTTCAATGCACATTTAAGTTGTCCCTGAAGAAAACGACAACCACCCGACCTTCAACACCCGGTCTTCACATGTTAGTGCCCTTAACACCATACCTATGAACACTAGAAAGGTTTTTTTTTATGCATTATCAATTCTGTACTTCCGTACATGATACAAGTTTAAATGTCCAAGTAAACCGTCAACTGTAGAAGTCAGTTGTTCTCGTAAAAGTTCATTAGCAACACTTTTGTGAAGCAATAGTATGAAACAGTTTGATTTTGGCGTGTTTGACTTCTACCATATTTATGTGCAACAGAAAGATTTTGCCTAAAACTTAAGATGTTTGATGATCCAGGGGCCTAGTATATTACACAAGTCTTTTCTCTGGGGATCAACATTTGTGATCTTTTGACCTTACAGCTACTGACTTCTATTGGAGAAACTTTAACCTTCGATCGTCATCAGCTGCTATACGGGGGCATCAGCATTTCACAAGCGCATCTTTTTCCTTTTCTTTTCATTAGTCAGGTGGCCTGTAGGGTCATATACTTTGGTTAAACCGGACACTGGTTGTCCAGAAGGCTGGTATGATGGATGGCGAGAACAAGACACTGAGGATGTTAGTAATCAAAATAGATGGACCCGACGTAATCATTTCTATGGTAAGCAGCACCAAGCAACACCAGATATTTCACGAGGATTGTATTACTTTTGCTAAAATCTGAACGTATTGGTCAAATAAAAGAGAAAGGCGACAAGATTACAAATAGAGTAATTGAACTTTTAAAATTACGCACTTTCAGATGCAGGTAGATACTTTTCGGACTCCAGCTTGCGGTTCTACTATTGTACCAAAACTCCCTATAATTATTATGGTCGCGGACACTGGCCTAAAGGGGACTACTGCATTTTACGGCAAACTTACTACTGTCCAAAAGGTTAGAAACGATTGAACAAACAAATACTAGTTCAGCAAAAATGTATATTGAATAAGAAGAAAATACTTTTTTGTTAATTAAACATGGACTTATTTACTATACAGGTTTTCGAGAGGGAACCGTGCGCTGGGATGACGAGGACTATGTAAATGGAAACGATTATAAAGAATATGTACCTGCTGGAACATTTGACGATGATACTGAGATAGAGTACTGCTGCAGGTATACTTTTCCTAGCTAGACGCCTCGATAATTTAGCTACAAATTGATACAGATCTACTACGGAAGCCCATTTAGAATCTATCAAAAAATATTTTTGAATTCGCTATAACGATTTTTAGAATTCGTTGTAACGAATTTAATTTGTTATAACAGATTTATTGAACTCGTTATAACGAATTTAATTTGTTATAATAGATTCATTGAATTCGTTATAACGAATTTGATTTGTTATTACAGATTCATTGAATTCGTTATAACGAATTTAATCTGTTATTACAGATTTGTTGAATTCGTTATAACCAAATTCTTGAATTGGTTATAACGAATTTAATCTGTTATTACAGATTTGTTGAATTCGTTATAACCAAATTCTTGAATTGGTTATAACGAATTCAATAAATCTGTAATAACAGATTAAATTCGTTATAACGAATTCAATAAATCTGTAATAACAGATTAAAATTCGTTATAACGAATTCAATAAATCCGTAATAACTAATTAAATTCGTTATAACGAATTCAATGAATCTGTTATAACAAATTAAATTCGTTATAACGAATTCATTAAATCTGTTATAACAAATCAAATTTGTTATAACGAATTCTAAATATTTGTTATAACAAATTAAATTCGTTATAACGAATTCTAAAAATCGTTATAACGAATTCAGAAATATTTTTTGATAGGTCCTAAATGGGCTTCCGTAGATCTACAGATCCAAGCATTGTAAAAACTTTGATTTACAGGGACATTTTTATCACTTTCTTCGGGTATTACTTACTCGTATTATACTTTATACCCTTCCCTGCGTAAAACATGGTTTCCTTTAATTATACATATACACTTTATTCCTGATACTTTATTTACCTTTAAGCAGTTCCAAACAGCTCTATGGAATATAAGTACGATACAGTCCAAATAACTGTTTCTTACTTCTATTCTCAATGACCATGTAGTGCAGGGCAGCATCGAAAGCAAGTTTTTAACTTGCCTAGATAGCAGAGCGGTCTAACGCGCTGTTCCTGTACTGCTAGGAGACAGATTCCGTAGATTCCGTAGGTCAAGAATTCAACCCCGGGCTGGGGCGGAAGTGAGTATCCTTGTAAAAGTGAATTTCTCTTTGCTCTCTATCTTAATATTCCTTCACTTAGGGCAGTTATATAAGTTTAAGAGTTGTTGTAATTTGTGCTTAATAAATAAAATTAATATCATCACAACATGTATTGGTAACGATCCTCTAAAAACTAATGTCCAAATAACTGTATCTCACTTCTACTCTCAATGACTGTGTAGTGCAGGGCAGCGTTGTGAAAATTGGATCGGCATCGAAAGCAAATTTTTAACTTGCCTAGATAGCCGAGCGGTCTAACGCGCTTTTCCTGTACTGCTAGGAGACAGATTCCGTAGGTCGAGAGTTCAACCCCGGGCTAGGGCGGAAGTGAGTATCCTTGTAAAAGTGAATTTCTTTGTGCTTCCTATATTAATATCCCTTCACTTAGGGCAGTTATATAAGTTTAAGAGTTGTATTTTGTGCTTTATGAATAAAATTAATATCATCACAACATGTATTGGTAACGATCCTCTAAAAACTAATGTCCAAATAACTGTATCTCACTTCTACTCTCAATGACTGTGTAGTGCAGGGCAGCGTTGTGAGAACTGCATCGGCATCGAAAGCAAGTTTTTAACTTGCCTAGATAGCCGAGCGGTCTAACGCGCTGTTCCTGTACTGCTAGGAGACAGATTCCGTAGGTCGAGAGTTCAACTCCGGGCTAGGGCGGAAGTGAGTATCTGTGAGTGTTGTCGTTCCCGCTATGCTCCCTCATTCTCTATCCAGTGTTGTCGTTCCCGCTACGCTCCCTCATTCTCTATTCAGTGTTGTGGTGAGAGAATGAAGTTCGGCACAGTCTTTGACATTTAATTTAGTGAACATTAAATGTGATGAAAAAATTGCATGCTCATTAAACTCTGTTAACTAGACTTAGTGCTTCATGTACAGATGTATATATACAGAATTTTTATATTAAAAATGTTGTGTATAATATTTCTTTTCAAAATTCCATTTCTACGTACATGTATCTGGTAAACATTAAATTGCCGGAGAGGTACTATACCTAGCAAAGATTCCGGAAATGAAAAGAAATAAATGTCGCGGAAAAAAAGAAATTGTCGGAAATAAAATAAAGAAATGTCGGAAATGCCATGCCGATTTCCGGAAATGAAATGCAGCGGTCTTATCTTTATATAAAGTACCAAAACAAATAGAAAGATCTCTTTTATATTGTTAGTCTGAACTTTTAAAAATAACGCCTTACATGACTTTAAAGCTGACATGAATTCTTAAAAACGCAACATTTTCATCTATGTACGACTTGTTTCATACCAACTATAGCCGTATTCCGCCATATTTCTTTCAGATATCTTGTCTCATTGTAACGATATATATACCCCAATGCGCTCGTCACACTTGAATGATTTTTTGGATTGGGTATCGACTTGTGCACATCTCCTTTGGTAAAGCATATGAGAATACATGGGGTGATCAACACATTTCAAAACCAAAATAAACAACATAATAATCATATTTTTGTATGATTATTGATTTGAATCAAAAGAAAAAAAATGCAAGTTTGGAAGAGAAATTTAGATGCATGAGTACGTAGTTTTACAGTGCGCCGATTTATGCAGAATAAACTTGAAATAAAAAGCAGTAAAAGAACTATATGCGGTATATTGCATATACTTGCCCCCACAAAAGTCACATTTTGAAAACTTCATGAAATGTGCTGAATTCAATAAATTGTATGAGAAATATAAATTAACAGAACATATTATAGTTTCAAAGCAGTTTATTCAGTATTTTTGCTTTTATGACGTCACAAACTAGTCCGATTTTATAGCCTTTTTCAGAACGAGGACAAAATGGACAAAATTTCAACAATTTTAGCTTTAGAATTTATAGAGCGCATGTATGTTCAGGAACAATATTTACATATTTCATTGATATTAACATTCTACACATTGTATCAAAATATTGATCCTGAACACACATGCGCTCAGTGACTTTTGCTCAAAATATCGAAGAAATATATACATTATTCTGTAGAATTCGTAAAAAACTGAAATTTACGTCATGTTTGTGACGTCATTACGTACATATGCCGTCATAACTTATGAAAATATTCAGTGCTTACGGAAGCGTATTAGTGCCACGCAATATTTTTTTTAAAGTTGGTAATTCCAACTTTAAAGTTGGAAATTCCAACTTTAATCTTGGCTTTTCCAACTTTAAAGTTGGTAATTCCAATTTTAATCTTGGCTTTTCCAACTTTAAAGTTGGTAATTCCAACTTTAATGTTGGAAATTCCAACTTTAATCTTGGCTTTTCCAACTTTAAAGTTGCTAAAGTTGGAAGAGAGGACGGGATTATGTGGAGTTATATTATGGCACTTTACAATAGAAAATAGATATTAGCACATTAAAATAAATTGTTGAACTCTTTTTATCTGTGTTTGTTTTATTTTTTTTACCTTGACCTTCCTTATGACCTTACATAAAACTTCCAACTTTAACTTAGAAATCTTTATATTCCTTTAAGTTCTCTTGTGTATTTCTATTGATAATAAATTCATATAGATGTTTTTTTTTTTCAAGGGGGGGGGGGGGCACCCCAGCCAGAAATACTCAGTATGTTGACAAGCAAAAAATTAATAAGTAAATAAATAATAAAATCCTTCCTCAAACGTTAAAAATCAAAGTTGGAAAAGCCAAGATTAAAGTTGGAAAAGCCAAGATTAAAGTTGGAAACGCAAACTTTTAAAAAAGTTGGAATTTCCAACTTTGAAGTTGGAAAAGCCAAGATTAATTACCAACTTTTAAAGTTGGAATTACCAACTTTAAAGTTGGAAAAGCCAAGATTAAAGTTGGAATTTCCAACTTTAAAGTTGGAAAAGCCAAGATTAAAGTTGGAATTTCCAACTTTAAAGTTGGAAAAGCCAAGATTAAAGTTGGAATTACCAACTTTAAAGTTGGAAAAGCCAAGATTAAAGTTGGAAGCCAAGATTAAAGTTGGAAAAGCCAAGATTAAAGTTGGAATTACCAACTTTAAAGTTGGAAAAGCCAAGATTAAAGTTGGAATTACCAACTTTAAAGTTGGAAAAGCCAAGATTAAAGTTGGAATTACCAACTTTAAAGTTGGAATTACCAACTTTGAAGTTGGAATTACCAACTTTAAAGTTGGAAAAGCCAAGAATTTCCAACTTTAAAGTTGGAATTACCAACTTTAAAGTTGGAAAACTTTACGCTTCCGTAAGTGCTAATACGCTAATACGCTTCCGTAAGTGCTTTGAAGTCAGCACATACTCCCCTGTTTAAGAACTTAATTAAATATTACCTCAATCAAAGTTTGATTTGGGGGGCAAATATTGGTCATTACCGCATAAAGTTCTTTGCAAACACATTTTGAAATTATATCATTTGAATGGAACAAAACAACCAACGTCTTTGATTTGCAGGTCCTATGCAATTGATGCATATCGAGAAAACGCATCGAACGCTGTAAACGTACCCATACCTGGTAATAAGGTTACTGCATCAGTTCGAAGATGTGCACAAGTCAAGTGATATACACCCTGAATTCCATTTATTGAAATATGCATCACAAAAAAGAAATAAACTCCACAAAAGCTCAATAGTAAACACACTGTCACTACTCCGTACAGACTAGCACGTCGATACACTTAGTCCGTGCTGATCAGATTTTGGTCAGGGAAAATAGAAGTTATTTGGTATTTGCGCGGCTGAAAGGGGGAGGGGTATTATAACTGCTGTTCATAAGCTATAGTTGTGAATTGTTTATCTACATGTAGTTCTGATATACAGTATGATGCAATATATATTCGTACAAAATGGCGGCGTGTTTACACTCGCGACGAAAGTAGGTCAACATTATAACTCGTTTATTCCATTTCAGAAATTAAATAAATCAAAAATAACTTAC